CCCCGATCTCGGCGTGGGAGGGCAGTAGAAGAGTAGATCCTGTTCGTTCACGTCATAGTCGACCGCGATCTTGCTGTACGTACTTGCTTCTGCGTGCGTGAGGTCTGCGATCGAGCCGCTCAGATACTTTTTCATACCTTCGATTCAGACTTCCTTCCCCTAAGCCTGCCTGATCCGGTCGACCCGAATCTCCCAGATCAAGCCCTCTTGCATGACTCCGTCGGGAGATCTTACTCGAGAAGCTCGGGTCCCGATTGTTGATCCGGCATGATCGAGAACCTGGCTTCATGTCCGATTTCTTCCGGGCGTTTAACAAGATCCTGGGACAACGGCAGCGAGTGTCGATGACATTTCGGCCGCAATCCAACGGGACCGCAGAAAGAATGGTGCAGACTGCGATCAGGATGCTCAAGATGTACGTTCGAGATCTGGATCAGAAGAATTGGGATGAGTATGCAGACCAACTCATCTTCGCGATCAACACGACCCATGATCGGATCCGAGGGGATACCCCTCGATATGGGATACATGGGTGGAATCTGATATCGACGCTGGAGACTACACTGCCAGTCGGATGTACCAGACGGCACGATCGAGACGCGCGTCGGTGGCGTTATCGGGTCCAACGATATTATCAGCAGTCCCGAGAGCAAGTCAACACCAGATTGAGAGAAACCATTGCGGATCGGGACAGCCGACATAATAAAGACGTCGGATTGCATCAGATCGAGGATGGATCTTGCGTTTGGTTGTACCTAGACCGGGCGAAGGAAGGGTTTGCTCGAAAATGGGCTCACCTGTGGTATGGGCCATTCCGGGTTGCTGAAAAGATCAACGAATTCAGCATCAAGCTCGAGATCGCGGGTACTGGGTACCAGATTTTCCCAGTGGTCCACGTGTCGAAGCTGAAATTGGTCAAGGACTTTCCGGATCGGCCGCGAACAGAACTCACGGTCGACGAATCGGATCGCCTCGAATTCGATGAGATCCTGCTTCCGGAAGAAAGCTGGGCCCCAGATCTCGGAAGCGATGAATACGTAATCAAACAGATCTCGGACGTACGGAGTGGGAAGAAAATGCGATTCGGTCGGATCTACCGAGAATTTTTGGTGCATTGGGGAGGATATTACGACCTGGGTCGCCGAAGCCAATCTCAACCGCGGAGCGAAACTGAACGCTTTCCTGAGGGAACGAGCGAATCGTAATCTCTTCAACGTGATGCAATCGCAGGAAGAGGAGTAAAGAAGACGGGGTGAAATTGCCTGATCGTTCCCTACTCCAAGGAAGTATAGGTCAGATAAGACCGAGATCAGGAATTCATGTTGTATATGTGCATATGAAAACGTCAAACTGTGCAAGCGATCACGGAAGACATGGTGAGTCTGAAGTAAGATCACTTAGGAGCAGCGACGAAAAGATCAAGTAAGTGGAAGATGTGGCTGATATTTATGAATTACGGGGGAATACGGAGAGATCGCGATCGCGAGATGGCGTGTGGGGATCACGTCGGTTTTCCCCGGAGTGATGTCGGATCCACGGATCAAGAAGCTGCTGGAGGGTTGAATTTATTTGCGAGACGAGGATCTGCAGCGATGGATGAACAGAGCCTGTATCGCGGTAATGGTTCCACCAGGGATCGTCCTGATTGCACTCGAACAGGTCCGTGTTCAGGTCGGTCGGCTCGGGAATATTCGCGGTCGGTCGCGGAAGATTGGCAGCCCTGGAGACCGATCCGGCATACCAGCGTACTCGATCTTAGGGCGTCGGCAGGTGGAGGAAATAGGGATCCAGCAGGAGGTCGATATGGGCCCATTGGCACTTCATCATCGGGAGGCACGCTCCCAGCAGTTTCCGCCAGCGATCTCCAACGCGGATGCGCCGCTGTCGTCGATTCTGGCGGTAGACGAAGAGATCAAGGTCCGCTGCGAGCGTTGCTTTCGTGATCTCGAGGTAATGGGTCGATTCCCAATACGCTATCAGGTGAGCTTCCTCCAGTGCGGCTTACGACACGGCGATCCGCCGTAGAGGGGTGCTAGCCCGCAAGTGCAAGTTGGGATCGAAAGTCAGCGGAGTCGGACGATTCCGTCGAAGTACGAGCCATGGCGTCGTAACCATCAAAGCTATCACGTTGGCACCGGTGATCAGCTCGGAATGGTAGTCCCGGGTATAGACGCCTGAACTAAATGCGTCCAAGCAGGGAACCGGTAGCCGGGCGGGGTCGGCGACCTCTTGGTCAAAGTGGACGGGATCATGGCAATGATCGGTACGGAACCCATGATAAACGGATCCCATGGGGTGATCTCAGCTGCCGTGAATAGGTTGACCATGGAATGTCGGGGAATACTCTCCTCGGCAGGGAACAATTGTGGATTCAGCTGGAGAGGCGAGCCACCGCCAGGTGAACCACCAGGGGAATCCTCATCTGTGCTTACTCCGGGAAATCCGTGAGGTGAGGGAGGGGGACATTATCTGAGGAAGGAGGATTGTCATCGTCTGGATCGCCTTCACCTCCGTCTGGGATCTCGCACTTGTCTTCGAGCTCCTCACCCTCAGGGCCTTCGATCTCGGGCTGATCTTGATCGGGCGGTGGGGAAATAGGCCGATCGCCGCGAGGCGTCTAGAGAGGCGGTATAGGGGAGGAGAATGGGCGGACTTCGATCACGTTTCGGCATCCGGGCCGCTTGGCTCTCTCGGATCCGGCTAGCGAGGTACGTGATAAGAAGATCGGCTTCAGTCAGATCACTTTCGGCCAGATCCCGCAATTCGCCGAGTTGGTCGTGGACAAGCTGGGGATTTGCCATCCTGCCCTCCCATCCCTGAAGCCCCAGGCGAACCACATCAAGATCATCGTCCAGCTGGTCGGCTCGGGCAGTCTCGTTGAGGAGTTCCAAGCGGACCTGATCGCGCTGGGCAATCGCCTGATCGCGATGTTGGAGGGCCGTGTGGCGATCGGCCAGAGCCCGATCCCGATCGTCAGTCACCTGGGTGATCTGTGTGAAGGCCCCGCCTCGATCGGAGGTAACTTGCGTCAGAGTTGCGCGGGCGAGTGCAAGTACTGCCAACGCGCGGTCCCGGTCTGCCTGAGCCAGACGAGTAGAACCTCCTAGTTCCTCCGCGATCTGGTTGCGGAAGGGCAAGGCTGGAGGAGATCCCA